TTTAAAGCTAGTGGTTGGGATTGGATTAAGTCAGCATGCAGCCTATGAGAGTCTTCTGGCAAAACCGGAGTGGGCAAGCTTTGCTGCTACTGTGCCTGGGAAGCTGGTGTAAAACTATCTGCTGTCCAGAGACAGGCTTTGCTTGAATCATAGGAGGTTGGCAGCATGACTGTGTAGACTGCATGGTCTTTCATGGGTCTGCTCTAGTTTAGTCTTCAAAAAGAAAAACCTAAGATGGACTAAATTCAGCAGGCATCGTTACGGGCAGACAGGAGGTGAGAGAGCAGGTGTGGGCTCAAACTTGAGGCCAGGGTAGAAAAGGGCTGTTTATAGGTGCTGGAGAGGTCATAATGCAGAGGGTTGAAAGGAGAATGAGGAAGGGAGAAGTCTCTGATTGTGGAAGGGTTTAATTGGGAGGAAATCTGTCACGTTTCAAAACTGGACCTAGGGAGGGGAAAAGTGAAATTGAACAGTAGGCATGCATGAGACACTACTCTTCCTCGAACTCAAAACACATCAATCACTCTTTTGATGGTAGGATCATTTGAGGGAAGAAAGAGTGGTGTTTTGGTTGTTGGTAACTGCTTATAAATATTCTGTAGTAGTGATGATCCGTTCTGCACTTTTAGTCCAAGAATGTTTAGCTGAGAGGGGAAGAACAAGTAAATGCCTACCTGCATGGCTACTGACACCCTAGTTAGATTTTTGGCACTGGCTTACTGGTTCCTTGCTACCTGTCTGAGGTTTGTAGGGGAATGGGAAGAATGCTGTCCAAGTCTGTATCAATGGAGAATTGGATCTTGCCTTAGTATATAAACTGTTCTCTGACCAGCAACAGCTAAAATTTACTTGCTAAACAAGTAAATTTCTCTCCTATAAATATTTCAAGACCCAGGAATAACTTGAAATTCCCTGGTTTTCTCCATGTTTATGTTGTACATTTAAGCATTCATAGCAACATAATGTGACTGTATCCTGCCTTTTTGGTAATTTTGGTAGTAATTTGAGCCTTTAAAAGGGAGGTATAATTAGAAAGACATTACCTTAAAACCTTAAAATTGCAAAACATACTGTAACCAGTCTTCCTTCCTTAGAAGCACTGATACATGTATAGCATAATAGTATAGTTAATAATGCTGAATGGCTAATCAGGCAAACTGGGGAACTTGCAGCCATCAGAAAACTGTTAATATTGCTACTGCTTTGCACTGTTTAAAATGGCAACCATAGGCACTCTTACGTGTATATCAGGATCGGTCTGATGGAAACGATACCAAAGTCCAGTTTGTTTTATCCATTATTTGCTTGCAGTTTTCAATAGGTGCCAAAAAAGCATGTTTTCTTGGAGGTTTGCTCCCTGTGCTTTATCAAGACCTTGTACGGTAGGCTTAGGCAGGGCTTTTTCACCAGCTAAGAAATTTAGCATTTTTAAAACAGAGCTGTTTGGCTTTTTAAAATCAGAAATGCATTAAGCAAAAATCCAAAATTCAACATTTTCAAGAGGTCAGGCACTGAAGGGCCAAAACAACTATTAATGTTAGCTTTAGGTTTAAACAAAAGCAGCAACAACAAACAGTGTCCTTTAAAAAACTCCTTTTGCACTTAGTGTGCCCAAAATTTGTAATTGGAAAAGGTTTCCAGCAACTCATTTCCAGGTGTCGTGTAGCTGAGTGAATGCCAGTTGCTCAGTGTTCAGCTCTAGATGTAAAATGTTGACGTGTTTTGAATAGTGGACATGAAATTTCAGAATTTGTGAATACGTATTTGGCTTTACAGTCTGCCTCATGTCAATGTGTGGTTTTTTAGGCTCCAGTACTGTTTCAAGGAAGCCTTAGCTTTTTTCTGGACAATAACCACCTATGATGGATTGATATGAAAAGATGATTATTTGACTAAGGATATGAAAGCTGACTTCAGAGCTTTTTGAAGAATGAGCTTTGGTCTTTGCTTATTTCCATTCCAATACAAGAGAGACTTTAACATCGTTCAAGTAACATGGTTGTTGCATGGAGACTTTTTTCTAAAGAATTGCCAATTCATTAGTTCACTGTAGAGGAATGCAGTATTTCTGGTATCCCACTTCAGTGACTAGATTAAATAACTGATGAAAGCCCATTACTTTGATGCTACTGCTTGTTTTGTTTATAGTAATGGTTGACTAAATATCCTCCTTTTATGCTCATTTCCAATACTTTTGTTTGTATTCCATATCTTCCTGATTCTGTCTTTAAAACCTTTGAATTTACCTCTGTGTAACTCCTTTCTTAGGGAATGGTACTTAGGAAAAAACCTTAAAAACCATTATTTGAAGTAATACTTAGAGTAGTTGCTTAATCATCTTGTGTCATGGCTTAAATTCTCCCTCGAGCTGGGCTTTTGAAAAATATATTTGAGTGCTTGAGTAATTACTTTAATAGAAGCCTTATAGGAAAGTACCAAGTAAAGCAGCAGAAAAACTAAGAGAAAAGACCATCTGCCTGGAAAAGTTTTGACATGTTTTTGAAACTGGACATCCTAGAGATTGCTGTGCTCACTGGTGGATTTGAGTTCAGAGCACTGCTGCACTCCAGCCTCTGCAGAGAAGTTGGGCTTGCTGCAGATCATGTATAGAGAGTATGTATATGTTGTATAGACAAGACTCAGATTTTCACATGCTTACTTTGATCCCTCTTGAGTGAAAATCCCTGTGAAGAAAACAGGATTTTGTTCCTGTATGTTTTGGACTGGATGAATAAGTCCAGCACAATAGCAATCAAACATGTTACCTTCACCTTTAAGTAATCAAATACAGCTGATAAAATGCATTTGTTCCTCTAGCTCCCTTTGTAATGTAGAACTTTAACTCACTAAGTCATACAAACTTAACACACAATGTTTGTACGGTGACACTTTTTTCTGTTTGTTTTTTGGGGCAGTTGTTTGGGTTTGTACCTTGTTTTGCTGGGAGGCTATTTACAAAAGGAATTCTGACTGGTTTGGATTAGTTATTTTCCTGGTATGTTAACCCATTAATGAAAAATCTAGACAACATTGTGGAAAGTTTTATAAAGCTGTCAGGTTTGTTCTATGACATGGAAATGGGTCAGAAGCTTTTTTTGTCAAATACTGAAATAAATTTATTTCTGTTACATTGTCTAGAGTGCTGTTTCAGAGGTGTTTTTAAAAAGTATGAATTTGTGGTTTGTGGTGTTCTCAACACAACAAAGCTTGTACGCTTTTTAGCATGTTCCATGTATTCAACTGTCCCTTTCAGTAACTTTCAAAAAATTCTAAAATATGGCTGATTATTTTGTCTCAGAGGTTCAATACCAGGCTACAGTAAAGCTATATACAGAATCAGAGTTCTGCATAGTAATGACAGATAGTAAAAGTACACCTATGAAGAGACATCTGATGCAAAGCTTGTTTAATTGCTCATTGAAGCTTGTGTGTTATATTCTGTGACCAGTAGTATGTAATATGCTAATGCAGGTTTAGTATATATTGTGAAGCTTCTCTTTTGTTTCTGAATTGTTCTGAACTGAGGGAAGTAGCTTGGACATACCTTCATTTACCAGTCCTGTTCCTGGTTTTGTCTACTTGATACAGGATGTTTTGAGACAAGTTGCCTAATCCTGTCACACCACCTACTGTTGAAAGGCAGACACTGGGCATGTTTGTCTTGTCTAAAATTTAATGCAATCCACTTAATGTCATGTCTTCCTGGGTTTGGTGCAAATTTCGGGTTTCTTGGTCGTTAGTATTTAGGAGTAGAAATCCTGTAGTAAAGCTAGTGTTGCTTAAGGTCAAATTACTAGCTAGTTTTGTCATATTTCAGCAGTTTTCTAGCTTAAGCAAAGTTGAATTGTTTTTTAATAGTAACAAGAATCAAGGGAAGGGTATTCCCTTTAAATAGAAATTGGATTGTTCTCTGTCAAGTCTGAGACACTGTAGTTGCTTCTTTTCCATTAAGATAAACTGTCAGCCTTGAAAATGGCAGTGACATAAGAAATCAACATATTTTAGATATATTTCTTATAATAAATAACAAAATATTTTCTAAAAAATATAAGTCTGTCTTCTCTGTTTTTGTACAAAAATGAAAAGCTCTTGCCCATATTCAGAAAGCTGATACTAACATCTTGATCCTGGGGCTGGCAGGATTAAACTCAGAGCTGGCAAGAGAAACCTATGTGTATAACTTCTCTGGGCCATTGAAATTTTAATCTGGGTGCACACTTTTCAGGGAATAAAGTAGAAGCTTAATCTGTCTAAACTAAGATTTTTCTTGTGGTAAGTGTATTTGCTTTTTAGTAATGCAAGAGTGAGCTCCTCCTACACTTATCTCTTGTGTAGGTGCTTTTCCTGTTTGATTAGCTTAGCTGTTGGGTGTTTGTATTCAACAAGCTCAAATGAAAACTGGACTTAATACAGAAATATTTCTGTACCAGCTGGCCATTAAGAAGTTGGTTTTGGAAGTGCTGTTAAACTAGTTATGTAGAACTACTCAGTTTTCAAGATATTTATTATATGAGTACAAAGCAATTTGATGCTCTCATGCTGTCTTATTCCTTGAAAGGATATTATATACTTTTAGAGTGTTCTGTCAAAGGGGAGTGGGGTTGTGGTTCTGTTTTGGGGAGGGACAAACAGAAGAATCCTTTCTTAGATTGTCTTTGAAGTAGAGGTTATAGTTTTGTGGGATTGCCAGTACAACGATCCATAATGTGAGGTAGGAAGATACAAAGAAAGACTTTTTAATGTGTGCAGATGTTTGCACTGAACGCAAGTCTGTTAAGCTCTTGACTTGTTTCTAAGGCTTTAAGTCCTTGGAACTGTTTTTCTGCATCTACAGCACTTATAACCATGTCAGTAGGAAGTAGATTAAGCCATTTAATATGGATTTTTATTGTGTAAATATTTTTATTTGTAGGCATATGTGCAAAAGAAGCAATCATTTAAGTTTCTTTCCTACTCCTTTTGTTCTTATTTCTCCCTCCTCTTTCCCCCCTAATTGACAGGTGTAGGATCTTTGCCAAGAGAACGGCATGCCTCAGTGAAAAATTCTCCATCCTCGTGCACTAGCATTGGTAAATCCCTTGCCAAATCCAAAGTGCCTGTCAAAAGATCAGTGCTTGAGAGAACACCTAGCCTCTCATCAGTCAGCAGTGCTCAGAGTGAGCAAAGTCTTTTCAGCACTAATTGTAAGTATATGTGAGGGTTATGGGTTTTAACTGATTGATAGCCCACATCAATTGCTTGTTGGTAAAAATCCTCTTGGAAGGGAGTCCTGTCTGACAAGTACCTGTGTTTAATTCTGATTGTACTACTTGTTAGTTCTAGGTCTTACTCTTTTTGCCTCTTTACTTGGAACTTTCCTTTTTGAGACATAGTGTTTGAAAATGTTCTGAGCCCTGGATTTTGGGTTGATGAGTAGAGATTTTGGTACAATTTCTCTTCCATCCTTAAACACTACATAATCAGCATGTCTTTTTAAGCAAGAGTTTCCTAATGTTTGCATGTAGTGTAATATGTTTGGACAGAATGGTTTACTTGTCATAATATTTGGAACAGTGTGTTACAGTGTGTTTTTTGATGCTAAATGTTTTTTTGAACCAGTTTATATCTGCTTTCAGAGTTTTAGGACAAAATATGTAGATCAAATTAAAGGCACGTAAGTTAAACTTGTTTTAGAAGAGAAACTTTTGTGTGGGCAGACTTCTGTAATTTCTAAGGTAGCCATAAACATTGGTGTAACCAAATGAAGCTTGATTAAAATTAGTGAGAAAAATACTAGGACTTGCTTTATTTTGAAGTTCTACAGCAGTTCTTAGGAATTCTGAGGGGGAAAAATATTAAGAAAATAACATACAGCTGACTATCAGACATATTAGTATTCCCAACTATGCATATTTAAATAAGTACATTAAAATATTCTTCTACTCTTGAATTGCCTGTTATATCTTGAAGACGAGGCAAAGGCCTTTTATTTGTGCCAGATGTCACTTAAATCTGTCTTTCACTGGACTGAAAAAGAGAGCTGTGATTTAACACACGTCTGTGGTTTATATATGCGCATATGCATGCACACATAACTACATTTTCTCATATTCTTCTCCCCCCTCCTCGTACTGCCTTCGTTAAACTAAGCCTAATATATTCCTCAAAGGAATAAGAGTATGTGTAATAAAATATGCATGTGCATCTTGCTCTGCAGTGAGATCTGTTCTGATACTGTGACAGCCATGTTGACTTTTGCTGTTCAGGTTTAGGACTGTATCTGGAGTTGCTAAGCAGCTTTGTCCTCTCTTCGTTTTGCTCCCTCATGTAACAAAGGAAGGGGTCATCGCTTCATAACAAAGGAGTGTATTCAGATTAAGTATCCAAACAGATGACTCCTTATTTAGCCTGATTTGCTAGCTGCTGTAATCTGTTTTGTACACTGCCTTCAAGCTTACAATTTTTTCCACTCCGATTCACGAAGACCAAGCAAGAGCAATATGAGAGGTTGAACATGGCTGCAGTCTCGTAGACTTTTAAGCTTGCTTAGATCTTTTTTAAATGACTATACCAGGAGGACTCCGCAGTTGCACAGAAACTAATTTTTCTCCTATTATTTTCTTCAATTCTACACTAACACCACCGACTGACTCAGGAAGCCACTATGATATCACCTTACTGACATTGCTGGTAGTGGGGTCTTACAGCTTTTGTATTGTTCCTTTGTTAGCCACGTTTACTGGGAAGAGAAGTAGGTTGCATTCCTTTTATTTCTATTCTAAAGCATGTATTTTGTTTTGTGGAGGTTGGTAAATATATGCAATGTTTTGATCTGCTGATTTACTGTAATATTTTTCTTTAGGGAATTTTTTACACTTGATAAGAATTATTTATATCTAGTAGTAATGTTTTGTGAGTATAATGACCTAAGATTTTGTGTAATTCTTCATATGTTAATGAAATTTTTATGACTTTTAATCAAACTGGAAAGAACTAAGGAATTTTCTTTGTATTCTAATGCTAAGTACAGCACTGTTCTTGTTTTTTATTCAGTCTACTATGTAATAATTTCAGGAAAAAAAAATTGAAGCTTAAGTGGTTTAATTAGATTGGTGGGACACACAAAGATCAGAATGAGAGGCTTATGATGTGTATGTCATGAAATGTATGACAAACTACCGTGATCCTGTCAACAATATTAAATCAAAAACGTGCTTGGCTTGTTAAGAGTTTGTCTTCTGTTAGCAGAGAAAAAAAAACGGCAAGAGTGTTTCTGCTGCTTTGTCAGCTCAGCCCTTTGTTATGGGATGTCCTTGGATTGGTAATTCCATGTGGCAGCATTAGGGCTTGTTTTTTTTTATCTAATGAGCACTTGAACTTTATGATTCTTTTCTCTAAAATGACTTCTTATTTGAAGCTCAAAAATCATGAGGTTTAGAATACTGTTGTTATTAAAAGCATATTTTGTATGCAGTTTGAGCATTGAAAACCAGATTTTTTTTAAAGTAATCTCAGTTTTACTGCTGAGCTGAAAATTTTATCCTTTGAACATACCAAAATGTTTAACTCTGATGTTAAGAAAAAAGATTCCAGATTTTAATTGCATTAAATTAATTGTATATATAGTAAATAGTGTTTCAAAAGTTAAAAAGCTGATCCTAGCAGTTGACCTGCCTCTGCATTTTTGTACAGCCAATACTTCATTAAAATTCTTCTAATGAGTGGAGTTTTCAAATCTTTACTGGGCTGAGATCACTTCACACCTGTCCATCTTTATTCAGGATTGCAATAGGTGCTCCAAATTTGAATCCAAAAGTGACCAAAGTCTGTAAACCTGGGAGGTTATCATGGGTTCATTTTGGTTTTTTTTTGATTCCTGCGCACAGCCTGGTCAGCTGACTCTGGAGTTTTTAATAGGAGAGAACAGTTCCCTAACTAGTCCTGCACCAGAAGGCTGCTCACACACCCAAAGGGTTACTACCATGGTGTGCTGGTGATTTAGAAGAGGAAGTAGAACAGTAGTTTGCAGACAATTGTTAACTGCTTGCAGTGAACTCTGAGCAAACATCCTTAATTTAGTGATTTACAAAAACTATTAAGAACTGCTTTGCACCTTGTGCTTTACTAAAACAAATTGGTTTTAATTATATAATGTTGATCAGGGTCAGATTCCCACACAATAACTCTGTTGCTGATGTGTTATGGAAATTGCTCCTTGTGTATAGTTTTTTTTGGCAAATATTTAGCTTTTGTGTTTTTAGAGAGGCTCCAACTTCCTTTTTTTTTAAAAAAAAAGATTATGGCTTCAGTTGCATGTGTTTTTTAAAGGGAAATCCTCTTTCTGTAGTTGAAAATATTTAGTGACCAAAAGCATTTTTTTGAAGTAGTTAACTTCCATGGTTTATACTAGCCTGTTTAAAGACAATAAAATAATCTCAAGACTGTATGCTTCATCTTTTGATGAACAATATTAAACATGTAGTTCACATTGCCTTTAAAAAAAACCAGTCTCATTAAAATACTTATCTGAGGCAAACCTGGTAATATATGACAGAAGCTTCCCCCTCTCCCACCCTTTTATTTTTCAATGACTAGAGAGAAAAGCAGTGCTGTGACAAACAATTCCACAGTGACTTAATTTTTTCTTGTCTCTGGTAAATGCCATGTGAATTCTCTTCAACATGTTAGTATACATCATTTTTAGGCCCCAAGACAAAGTCTACTCAATCTGTATGTACTTTAGAAATATTTTCACATATTTTTCTGGACAACAGAAACAATGTTTCCAAAAGTTTCAGTGGGTTTTTTTTTTGAGGAAAAATTTCTGTTGTGATCATAAACTCAAACCTCTTTCAAGGTTGTTTAGTCTCTGCTAAAACTGACTTGTCTTATGATTTAATTTTCTCTAAACTATATATGCTTAGAGCAAATTCCTTTGCGATTCTGTTTTGCAGCTGCTAGTGCCACAGTCATCAGGAATGGAGAATGGCCTTCAAAACCAGCCTGCCAGAATGGCACTTCAGGGTCTGTCCCTGTGAAAGCACTGCCAAGACCTAGATTGCACTCATTGAGATCAACTCCAAAAGGTATATGAGTCTGGTTGTAGCCAGAGGAGGTAAAATCACATCAGTGGTGCTTCAAGTGTTGTAAGACTTCATAGGAAGGCAGAAATATTCTTTATATTTCCATAATTGATGGAGGTATTTCAGGGAAATGAAGAGGTCTGTGCTGTGGTACAGCTCAGGTTTGCATGGTACAGGGACTAAATGTACCTTGGTACATGTCAGGTGTCATCGCATGGGGTTTGCGTTGTTTTAAAGAGTTCTCTTCCTTTGGAAAATTCAGGTCGCAGGCTCTGTCACTGCTGGTAATTGCAGAATAGACATACCTGAATTTATCCTGAGTGTATGGTTGTTCTTGTCTTTATGTAGACTATATTATCCTCACCCTTTTCAGGACCGAAAGGGCCTTGGGGGATGGGGATATATTTCTGAATAAGATATTGTTAGAATGTATCTTCTTTTGTAGATTAACGACACTGTCCCATCTTTCAAAGGGAAGAGTCACAGAAACTTAGCTTTTTCATGTGCGTTTTCTTGGTATTCTTCTGGGGCTGAATTAGAAGCTTTAATGGAGATGAGACAATTAATTGTGTTTTATCATCTTGTGCTAAAAGAAACATTAGATGTATTTCCTGACTTTATATTAAAGATTGTTCAGTTTCCTATTTTGGTTCAAGCTAGGAATTTTGATTGGCCAACTGTGCAACGTCCACTCAGGCCACAAACAGCAGCTGACAAGTCATTCTCTGACCAAAATTAAAGACATAATGGGAGCAGATAAATAAGCTTGCTGTGTCTCTTTCCTAAGTCCTAGCTGTAATCAGCTTGCTTCTGACCATCTTTGTGGTGAACTGGTTATTGTAATTGGATAAACCTAATTAAATGCTGTACTCCTGCATTAGACTTAAATTTTAAGCTGGTATCTGACATAATAGAGAATAAATAAGAGATGCCTGCCAAATGTCTCGCTGTAATGACATGCTTTAAAAGAGTAAACAGTGAAAAGAAACAGAATTTGCCACAAGTAATAAGTCACTTCGAAACCAACATGAATCATATGGCTTTCTAACAAGCTGATGCTTTCTATCAGGGTCCAGCACATGCAGCACAACTATGCATAGCTCATTGTCCTCAGTGACCTGGCAGTGTGCCTTGAGCACCTGCAGGAGCAGTGTGGCCAAAGGAAGCTGGCATTCCCCTTCATATCAGTGTTACCTGGACTGTGGTGTTGTGTTTTGGGTCCTTCCCAAACCAAGAGGGTTGTTTTGAAACTGGAAAGATCCAGTGGAGATTTAAGAAGATGGGTAGGGTCTCTGTCCAGTGAGAAGACGGAGTTGAGCATGTGCAGTCAATAATTTGAAAAGGACAGCTATAAAGGTCATGGTGCCAAACTCTTCTCAGTAGCACCAGATCATGTCGCAATCAGAAATGCTTTCAAACTGTAGAGTGGGAGATGCACCCTTGCCCAGTGGTGCCGTGGAACCACCCTTCCTGGCGGGAAACATCTAGACAAAGCATGGTCAGCTGATCTCGTCTTAATGGTGACCCTGCTCTGAATGGGAGTGTGGATATCTGGCTTCTGGAGGTCTGTTCCAGCCAGTGTTTCCTTAGCTGCATTGTATTTGCTGCTGTTTTGAGATTCAGTAACTTGATCTTAGTGCTAATCTGAAATCTTTACTAACATTTTCTCCTGCTTAAAAGGCTTTTAGAATTATCTTTTTATTTCTTCCAAGGTGTGTTCTGGCAAAGCAGAGCTAAGTTTAAATACACCTTAAACGTTCTAGAAGGTTTCTCTTTTTGTGTTTGAATGGATTTGTGGATCTTGTACTTAAATGTAAAAATGTAAGATATGTCTTTAATTGCTTTACAACTTTAAATAGTTCTACTTTAAAGTTCATCTAAGCTTTTACTTTCAGGATCCAAGACCAGGTCTGCTTCACTGAGCCAGTGCACACCAAAATCATCTGGGCCTCTACACTTAGCAAGGAAAGTCAGTGAGACTAGAGGTAATTACCAGCTGGGTAGTCAATTTTTCACTTTTTCTTGGATCTCTCTCTCTTGAGAAGGAGCAGCTATGCTTTGATTTCAAAATAATTGGGATAGTTAACTAATTTTCTTTGCAGTTCACCAGACTGGACACTGGCTCTGCAAGGTTCTGTTCCTTACCTTACCTAAAGCAAATGCTTTAGGGACATTCATTGTCTACTGTCTGCTTGAAACTTGAATCCCATAAGGACTAAAAATACAGCATAATTAATCTGTATGTTAAATTATGTTCTGTCACCTGTTTATAAGGTTGTATGCTTGCAAGATACAGTGTAGACTAGATTTTGCCAAATTTGTGTTTAGTTTAAGCAAGATTCTTGTGAAAACATGCTGATCAGCTGTGCCTGTTGAGGATATTTACTCCGCTTTATGTTTCTGTATCAGATGTTTGTTTTATCTTTAACTTTGAATTAAAATTAGTCCTTTCTGCCAGAGTGAATCGAAAGAACAGATACAAACCTTAGGACAAGGTTTGTAAGATGAAATTTTCAATTTGGGAGCAAAGCGCTATTTGCAAGTCTGAGGTGGGGGAAAAACAAATACAGTGGTGATACAAAGCAGCTTGTTTCCTGAGGAAACCTGTGCCAAAGGATCCACACTATTCCTAAAGCCTGCAGAGAAGTGTTGTCAAAAGACCTTCTGTGAACTTGTGCACATAACATTTGCACTTACACCCAGTGTTCTGAAAGATCGCTTTCATTCAATATCCTTCAAAATAGTAAAGTTTGTAGGTCAATTTTGCATAACTTTTAGGTAATACAGGAAGGGTGGGTTAACTTTCTCAGTGCTGTCATTTATATCTAACCTGACTTTTTGCACATTTGAGAATTTTGTTAATTTATTGCTGCTCTATGCAAATAAAATAACTGTAGCATACGGAAGGAAAAAAAATGCTGTAATACCTGTATAGATGATAGTTTTTCATTGTCTGTGGTCTTCTTTGAGTGAAGTGAAACAGTGCTATCTGACTTAAATGAAATATAGTAATTGTAATGATATAATTGTAATTGGGAATGCATCCTGCATTTTTCAAACAGTTTCTTATGCTAAATCTTGATGTAGATCATGCCATCAGAAGAAAGAAGCTGAAATTGCGAACTTTGAGGAGCTTATGTAGAAGAATCTTGAATCTTAAAAAAAGGCAGACCTACTGCCCCTTACTGGCTTGAAGTATAATTTTTTGTTTGTTTGTTTCCTTTCTGAAGGTAGTCCTGGAAGAAATGTACACCAAAGCCTATCTTGTTTGGGTTCTGGTGAGTTTTCTGAGTACATTTTATATTTTTCTGTGGTGCAACTCAAATTAAGTTTGTACGTTCTATTAGTATGTTGGTTCTTTTCTGGGAGGAATAGAAGCACAATGGATAATTCTGTAAATTGTCACTGACTCTAGTTTCAAGGAATATGGAAAAAAGCCTATTTTCCTGGGTTTTGTCTACTTCCTGCCTTCTGTCTACCCAGCTTAGGCTATACAGTCTGTTCTGTTCTTCTGTTTCCAGTGAAATCTAAGGAGGTTTAAACAGTAGGCCAAAAAAAAAGGAAATTAAATTTGGGTGTAATTTTTACTTTTTAGCCAAAGTAAATAATGAATGAACTCATATGTTGCAGCATTAAAAAAACCCAAAACCAAATAAATAGACGAATCCCGCATAACCTTCCTTTTCTGGAACGTTCTTTGTAGATCACCTGTCGGTGTGAGCTGTTTTTGTGTATCACTGTAGACTGTGTTTGTGTAAGAAGTTGAAGTTACCGGAGCATGTTGATGTGTGTCTGCTCATATGGCAGAGGGAGAAATCGCAGCTGATTAAGTGGCAGATGGTGTTGCAAAATCTGGCAGAGTTTTAAGGACTTCATATTGAGTTTGTTTTTGGTGTTTGCGCCAGTCAGGACACCTGGTGCCAGTTTCTGTCTGCCAAGAGACTGAAAAGTCTTCAGATGATGCTTCTACTTGCAGCAGTTTCCAGGTAGTTTCAAGAGAGTTGGCAGTCTAAATTAGTTTCCTGAGAATCAGTGTGTATTTGTTGAATTAAAAGCTACTTGTAATTAATTACTCATTGAAAAGCCCTTTTTGAAAGATACTGAAGATCACCGGAAGGCCCTGTGTCCCCTGAGTGAATAGCAGATGTCTTTCTGAAAGAGGTGCTGTAGCCAAGCAGATGTTGTAAATTTGAGTCAGAAATAACTAGGCAAATCAGTACTGACCTGTAACTCTGGTACTGTGGCAGTATTTTTTACATTTCCTGTAGTCATAACATGCATTTAATGCTTTTGTCTTTTACTCTCTTGGGTGTCAAATACATTCATATTAATTTTGGCTGAGTACTTTGGTATCTTCTGTTGAGAGTCAGGGCTTCTGTCAGACTTAGCCCAACATTCCTTCTGTTTGTTACTTTTAATGGTATCTGACTGAACTGTTGCTAGTTTAGGTAAAGCCTGACACTGAGTTTCAAGGGCTCAGACCTAGTCTCTTGTATAGTCATGTAGGGGATGATTCAGCTGGCAACATAATGTGTGATCAGCTCAGTTGAGGAAACTCCTAATAAGCAATAAAATCCATGTCTGGACTAGAAACTAGAAAAGTAAATTTCTCTTATGCTTGCTTATGGTAGTCTCAAAATATAACTTCATTACCCAAAATTCAGTGTACACGTTCTCTCTACTTTCCAGAAAAGTAGTGTCCTCTCCCCTTTTTTACTGGTTTAGTAGAGCTTTGCTTATGATTCATTTTTTCTGACAAAAAAATGGTTGTTGCCTATCTTTTTTTTTTTTTTTCCTTTTGGCTTTGATATTATAGTGAAGCTTTGTTCTAATGACTGCAGCTAGTATAAAGCTTTTGTTCTTTTATTTCAGTGCCATAGTTAAGTCTACAGTTTTTAGCCTTATCCAGTTAGAAGTTCCAACCTCACTTCTATTTCCCACCAGTGTGTCCAGGACTAATTTGTTACAGCAGAACTCTGATAATTGATTAACTCTTAATTAAGAGTTAAAATATTAACTCTTAATATCAGAAATAATATTAAGGTATTAACTAAGTGTCTAGCTCTGTTGCTCATGCTGCTTTTCACATTTCTTCAATGATGAAAAAATGGCAGGCTTTTCTACATACACTTCTGTTCCCTTAACATTGGTGCTGTTTCTCCATTTTCCATTCATTTACAGCAATGATGCACAGCCAGAATCTGCTTGATGAAGCAAGCCACAACGTACTGCTAGTGTGCCTGTAAAACTGGACAGACTTGCCTGTTTGCAGCTGTTCATTTCTTGTTTGTGTTAAAACATTCACAAGGCTTCTTTTTCTGAGTTCTGTATTTTTCATGGGTGATGTTCAGTGCATCAAATAAGTTCTACAAGTTCTGTGGTATATTTCTTCAGCACTAGCTTTAAAGCTAAGGCAGAATTATGTTCTTGGGAATGGTTTATTATGCTTCTTAACTTGCTAACTTCAGGTAAAGGTGTTTATGTGCACTTACTGTAATGTCTTAATGTAAATATGAATACAAATGTTGTCTCTTATGAGATGGAATTTTGAACTATATGCAAAACTGCCTCTGAAATGCATAAAGTAAGTGCTGTTTCCTTTTTACTTCAGCTTCCCTGCAGAAAAAGCTGGCTGAGTCTAATCCCTCTGTAGTATATTACAGTGCAGTGTGTGTGGATGCAGTGGGTATTCACATCTCAGGTCTCTGTTACTGGCCAAACATTAAGTTACAACACAGTAATCTCTGAACCCACATGAGCCAAGCAAAAACAAATATCCTGTTCGGCAGTTCCAAAGGTAAAGCAATCACTTTGGGAATAAAGCATGTGAATATTTGGCTTATCCTGTTTTTCCATGACCCTGAAAGGGATCTGTGGTGTATCACGGATAACAAGTTAGACTTACATGTGCGGCATAAGACCATTGTCAGGAAAACAGCAAGGACAACTGATGGATATACCTATAAAGTGTTACTAAATATGAACAGTGAGATTTATGTTGTATCTTTTAGCACTATGATGCAGCATGGAATTGGTTACTAAAGGCTGCAGAAGCCATGAAAACCAAAGAAGCTTTATCAGAAAATGGTACATGCTCCACCATGGTGTTCTGTTTTCTTACTCTCATAAAGGATGTTTGTTTTAGTTCAACCATTTGTGAGAAAATATAACACTGAGAGAAGGAAGAAATTAAGGCAGGGGGCTTATTGCAAAAGTGAGTGATAGTGATGATCAAGCTCAAATGGAAAAATAAGGTATAAATATAACAGTCTAAGAAGTTGTCCCTTGGAACAGGTTGTTAAGGTGGGGTCTGGCTCTTCACTCAAACCCTTATACTGGGATAACATGCTAACAAAATACTCTGGTTCAGACAAAAGTTGGAGGCATACTTTAAGGTTCAGTTTACACCCCTTTCTTTCATTGTCTTAGTCATCCCTGTTGAAACTCGAGAGGAAACAGCTCTTATGTTGTAGATTCTTTGATAGAATAGGTTACTCTCAAAATACTTGCACTTTCCACATCTGAAAAACAAGTATTAATGTTTATCACACTCTGATTGTGCTTTGAAAACAACAAACAAGGCTTAATGTTTTAAAATTATATGCTATACTGTGTCAAAATATGTATTTTTCTTAAAAATTGGGGATGCACGTTGTTATGAGTGCCAAATACTTAGGTCTTCAGTTGACTGTGGTGATCAGCAATGGCAAATTACCCCAACTGATGAGGGATATCTGCTCAAGTAACTCATTCATGCTCTGTTTCTCCTTTTGTATCTGATTAGAAGATCTTTAGGGGTTTGTTAATGACTGGGGCATGGTGTGTATTTGCTTTTAAGAGCTTTTGCAAGTGTAGAGGACACTGTGCAGGCAGTGGTGTTGCTTGGAGATTTGAAAAGGCCTTGATATGTATGTGAACATAAATGCCCTGGCAGCCAAGAGGTCCAGTCTTCCACATTGCAGAAGTGGGACTTTTGACTAGCTCTAACTGGGAATTTCAATACAGATGTATTGGATAGACTGGATCTCAGTCTCTGGTGTTAAGAGCTTCAGCATTTGTAAGTAAGTTGGGTTCATCAGTTTTTCTGTCTCTGTCCCTGTCTCAAAAGAAAAGCCAGGAAATCCTGCAGAAGAACTTGTTCTGAGGTTACCAGATTAGTACAAGATTAGATTCTGTATTCATTTAATACAATTAATGTTTTACACACTGGAAATTCTGGGAGTTGAACAATGTAAATTAATATTTTCACCTTATCCTTTGAAAAGCAACAGACATCAGGCTTAAACTTCTTTTTGCAGATATTTTACTGTGGCTGGAGTATTTTGTTGCCTTTCTAGCTGCAATAAAAAGCTGGCTATAGTATTTTTTTAGATGTTTTTTTCATTCATATAAACTGTAAGGATTATCTGAATGACTCAATTTTCTCCTGATCTAACATTAGAATACCTTCAGGCTAATGCTCTTATAAACAGACAGCAAAGCTGAGTAGAGTAGCTACTGCATGTGAACTAGCTATGAAAACTGGCATTTGTTTTGCCACTTCTTTATAAATAAATGCATATAATCTAAATGTGTGAATTGGAGTTTCTTAATAATTGTAGTCATTGGAGACATATAATGATATTTATTTTGAAGAGTTAAAGAAATATCTATAAACCTGAGATAATCTTTGAAACACAATAGCTGTGGCCTTCTTGGCCAGATTTTTACACTGTTACTAAATAAAGTATAGTACAATAACTTGATCTAAGAATTTAATTTCTTGAGTGAGAACTAGAATGCTCCAGAAGTCTTCAAAGTGGAATGGCTGGTGTTGATATTCAGAGAATGCCACTCTAAACTCTGAAGTAATCTGTTTTGAGAGGGTTTTTTTGGTTTAACTGTTTTTAATTAAATAAATGGTGTTTTCCTGATGTAGTATGTTTGTTAGAATAGGCAATAGGATGCAAAAAAAACAGTGGTACGTGACAACACCATCATGTGTAACATATTCCAGATTTGGTCCCTTCAGCGAAGTCTATCAGTGTATTTGCATTCATGTTCCTTATGTTCTTCTCAAATTTGATCTTCTGAAAGTTAACCATTTAGGAAGGTCGTCTGTTGTTCTGTGCTAACAATCAACACTGTTCCCTGTGCCTTCAACAGATATTTTTACAAAAAACTCAGCAATTCCAAAACCTCAAGGCTTGCTATGGAGTAACAAAGGAGCCGTCTAATTCAAGTGGTAGTAGTATTGTGTGGGCAGTTTGTCAGATCGATGGACTGAAAATGTTGGGATTATATTTAAAATTCCAGCAATGAGGACTTGGTAGGGGTTTTATCAGTTTTGCTATCATGACAGACGATCATTCATTAAGGCCTTTTGTAGCCCAACCAAAATGTTTTTCACACTACAAGGTCTGTTTCTTCTGTTAATGCTTTTAAGTGAGGACCTGCTTTCTGGATTACAAGTTAGATATTTCAGAGTTCTTTGTTATTATTTAGTTCCAAACTTCTGTGAGAAGTTGCTTCTTGCTCTCCAGCTCCACACATCCATACTCCAAACAAGTGGTGATGCAGAAGTATGCAGACTTTCTGCAGCAGGAATATTTGTAGTTTATTTCTGTGGTATTTATTCTGTTGTGGGGAGGAATGTCTGTGGTTCTCTTCCCTGATATTTATTTTGATGTTTCACAATAACAAGCCACACAGGAAAAAATCACAGAGCTTTTGCTCACACTTGTCTAAATATTGGCTGGGACAGCCACTGTGTGAGTAGAGAGGGCAGCTGAAAGGGGCATCTACATACTACATCAGCTCAGTCCAAGTGATAGATAGAGAAAATTCCCATGTTGGGAGCTGGAGTTTGTTGGACCCTGTTAGGGACTTCAGTGGACATAATACTTGAAACATCATTGCGCTGTCACAGAAATGTGAAACATGTGCCAAAGATGCTTAAACAACTTGTACATCTCTCTTTTTTTTCTGCGTGTCTGGGATAAGGGAGAGTGTACAAAGCCCACACAGCTAGGCGAAGGACAGTGTGTTATCTTGAACGTGTTTTGTGCTTTCCGGATAAACCACTATCATGTCTTAGGGCATATACTTGCCAAAATGACTTTATTTACAATATTGACCTTTATTAGAGGCTCTCTGGGTATTATTGTGAGGCCATGGATGAAATACATGTGCATGGGGAATATAAATCAGTGTTGTGTAAATAAATAATTATACATCTGTAGGCTGTGGGCCTAATTTAAGCATTTCTTTTTTTCCTCTGTTGCTTGAGGTTTGAGCTCACAACCTACCCTGTTTCTGAATGGTAGCAAAGAGGTAGTTGCGAGTTTTTTTCACATCTGGCCAGATCATTGAAGCTTCAAATTTTAGGGCATTTTACTCTAACCTTAGTGATATTGTACAGTGTTGTAGAGTAGTAGCTCTGTAGGATTTTGACTGAGGAAGTCTAACCAAAATACCATTTTGAAAGGGATGTCCTGCAAATGCACTTCCCTTAAATTAGAAGTTAAAAATTAAATTATTCTTGCAGTGTTTTGTGGCTATTCTCAATAACAAAAACTGAAGGTAATGTAAATACCACTGTTGCATCTGAGAGACACAGATCAGCCTGATTCCTCTATCACTTTGCCTGGGAATCCACTGCAGCATCACCTTCAGTTTGACAGACTGCTGAATTCATAATGATTAAAAGCTTCTGTGCACAGAAAGAAGAAACATAAATTATTTAGGATTTTAGTTCCTGCTCTGAGGAAGGAAGAGGTTTCCTTTTTTTCTTCAGGAGAGGATTTGAGCTTAAACTTAGCCTTGAAGCTGCAGTTTGCATTCATTGTGGCAGCAGGTACTGTTGCCTACAGGACGATTAGCTTTTCAAAGTGGAGCACTGGCTAGAGCAAGGAGATCACAGGAAGGTGGAGTGGGAGCAGTCATTTTCCAGAAATAAAAATGAGGACACAGATGACCCTTTGGCTCTTAGTAGGTTCCTGCTTTTTGCATCTCTTTGCATAAGCAATTACCCTTCAGTTCTTCCTGAAGTAAAGCATGCCAGTAAAATCCATCTGCTCTGCACTGCTCTTGCTGTCTTGTGACATGGAGCCAAGTGTCCTTTACATGGACTACTTGGATCTAAATATCTAGCTCCTGATTTAGACCTTTATACAGTGAGACACTTAACTATGTTCCAATGGCATTTTTAGAGATTGTTGGATGAGGAGAGAGGGAAAGGGATAGC